AGAGAGAGAGAGAGAGAGAGAGAGAGAGAGAGAGAGAGAGAGAGAGATGCCTGAAGAAACAATAGGTACTGAATCTCCTGGAACTGAAGGTACAATCAGTTGTGAGTTACCTGCCATGGTGCTGTGCATGGAACTCAAGTCCTTTGGAAGAGCAGTGTGTGCTTGTAACCACTAAGCCAACTTAGCCACTCTTCAGTCGCAAGCGCTATATTTTTTGGTTAATTGTTTTTTTGAAGCAAGGTTTCTCTATTTCGTAGTTCTTACTGTACTGGAACTAAATGTATAGACGGGGCTGGCTTTGAAGTCATAGATCCATCTGCCTCTGTCTCCCGTGTGCTAGGATGAAAGACATATGCACCAGCCTCCACGAGATTTCCCATTCCGGTTCCAATTGGCCTTCTCCATTAGCTACTTCATCTCTGAGACCTTTTCCGCCTATTTCCCAATTATTTCATCGCAAAAGACCTGGCACCTTATATTGGACCTTACCAACATAAAACCAGTCGTTCAGCCATGATGCCTATCCATAGCACCTCTTATTTCTCATTCTGAGTGTGTGGCCATCCGGAAACAGTAAGCGGAGTAAAGTTCTAGACTTGGACTGTAGCTCAGTGGGGAGAGTTTGCCTAGAAGGCGTGAAACTGTTCAACTCCAGCACCTCACAAACAAATGTAACATGGCCGTGACCCCAGCAAGAGGAACAAAGATGCCAGAGGATCAGAAGTTCAAGGTCATCTCAGGTAGTGAGTTCTAGACCAGCCTGGGCAACCAACATGAAACTGCTTCAGAAAGTAAAACAAAAAAAAAGATCTCCAGACTTGTCAAAAGAGGCCAGAAGTCTAATTTAGCCTGTACCTGCTCATTGGGGATAGTCTGTAAAACTATAAAAGGCTTCACAAGGGGCTGGAGAGGTGACTCTGCGGCTAAGAACACATGTAGCTCTTGCAGAGGTCCCAGGTTCCCAGTGCCCACATGGCCGCTCACAACTGTCTGTAATTCCAGTTCCAGGGGAATCCAGTACCCTCTTCTGACCTCCATGGATGTCAGGCACATGAGCAGTACACAGGCATACATATAAGCAAAACACTCATAAACACAAAATAAATAAATCTTTTCCAAACGGTTTAAAAGCAGTTTTGTGAAACTAACAAATTATTAAACCAAGAACAAAACATTAAAAATTTGATGAAAAAATTCACACTAAAACAGCTGAAGAATGCCCACTGCTCCTTCATAGAACTCTGGATCCAAGTCACCAAAGTAGAAATTTAATTGAGATCCATATTTCTAAGTATAAATTTTCTAGAAATTATAAGATCTGAGAAGGTCCATTTAGAATGATATGTGGTTAAGGACATTTTATGCACTGTCCCTCAATTTTTACTATGTGTTAAAATCACATGGGGCACTTTTAAGAATCACGGGGTCCTGGGTGGTGCCCCACATCAAGTAGATCAGCGCCTCAGGAAGTAGAACCGTGCATCAGTTGTTGAAATCCCCTGAGTTCTCTGCATAGCCAAGCCAGTGTTGTAAAATATTTAGTTCATTCATACTCATTACATAATGAAGACAAAGTCTCTATGAGGTTTGAACACCACTGTTTATAATCTAAATAGTCTCTCCATCCACGACACCCTGTCAGAAGCTCAGCTTGCTATGGTTTGGGTAGGTTCTTGATGGAGAAGGAGCTAGACAAGGAAAACTAGATACTTCCTCCCTGGCTGCTAGGTGGGGCACTCGGAGGATGGAACGTCTCCATTTCCTCCGAGCCCGTTCTGTTCTTGGTGACTTTGGGCCGTCTCAGAGGATGGAGAAAAGCCACATTTCCTCTTCTCTCACTTGATTTTATAGGTGGTAAATGTCACTGGCAACCAGGACATCTGTTACTACAACTTCCTCTGTGCCCACCCCTGGGGCGTCCTGAGGTAAACCCAGCCCACTGGTTCCTCATGAAGCAGTAGAGTCTTTCTGTCTGACTTAAGGTTTTGAAAGCATGAAAAACAACTGAAGAAAGTACCCTAGTCAGGACAAAGAGGAATTAAAGTCAGTTGTAGAGACCAAGTACGCTTCTCTCCCAGACAATATCCCTAAGAGCGGCCTGCTGAGGTTTTTAAAAGCCAGATCCCCAGCTATGGGTGGCACATGCCCATGAACTTGAGTTAGTGGTCAGCTCTCATTCAGTCTGCTCAGTGAGAGGCAGGCATTATTAGTGCCACCATTTTAGATGAAGATGCTAAAACTTAGACAGGTAAGGTTTCCTGACTTTGGTTCCCTTATTTCTTCGTAATGCCAGAGTTCATCCACAAACCTAAAGCCCCCAGAACCTGGTGAAAAAAGTTTCTTCCTGAGAGGTAGGAACCCAACTTCTTGCTACAGAGCAGAACCAGACTTGATTTCCTGAAATACAGCCACTGTCAGTGATGCACCTGTGCTTATTCTGAAATCTACAGCTGGCGACCTGAATATTGGCACACTGTGGGTCCGCCAATGAGTGTCACAGGTGGAGCATAAATTCTTGTCTGTCTCTGGACCAGCTCTTTATCAGGACTCAGGCCAGGGCTGTGAGGACAAGAGATGATCAGGCGGGTGTTAGGGATGGTGAGCAAGCATCCCTGAGAAGATACAGTTAGGTTAAGTCAAATGAGCGCCTTCAAATCAAGAAGTTAAATTAAAGAGGATTCCTGGCGATTGTCCAAGCCTGAAGGCCCAGGGAAAAGTCAGTTGTGAAAGGCACCAAATGCCGAAGTCCCCAGCTCATTTTTGCGTGGGTCCCCGTGAGGGCTTTCACACTCATGTCTCACTCCTCTCCACAGTGCCTTCAATAATATCCTCAGTAACCTGGGCCACGTGCTCCTGGGCTTTCTCTTCCTGCTGATAGTGCTGCGCCGGGACCTCCTCCATCGAAAAGCCCTGGAAGCGAAAGACATCTTTGCCATGGTGAGGAGAAACCGCGGCACAAACCAAAGGCACAAACTGGGAGGGACCATGATTTCAAGTGGCCCCACCAAAGGGAGGGACATCTGGCTTGGTGATGTGGGGATGTGTGTAGAGCCGCTGAGGCCACCGTTCAGGATTGTCTTCCTACTGACAGCGCTTCTCCTTTTTCCAGGAGTACGGGATTCCCAAACACTTCGGTCTCTTCTATGCCATGGGCATTGCGCTGATGATGGAGGGCGTCCTCAGTGCTTGCTACCATGTCTGTCCGAATTACTCCAACTTCCAGTTCGGTAATGAGAACGTATATCAGTGATAGATTCGAGTTACAGGAGTCTTATCCTGGAGCCCTTCCGAAAGCATCAAATTCATACTGGCAAGAACTAAAAGGCATTTGAGGTGGGCTAAAATGATCCGAGTGTTCCTTGCCACTGAGTGAGATTTCTGTATACTATACCTTTAATTTGTTCGTTCTGCACTGAATGTTGATGCCACGGTGCAACACAGTGTCAGTGGCCAAGCTAAATGCCACTGCCCTTCAGGCTTCCCTTGGTGTAACTTACATGTGAAGTAGTTGGCCTGCTCTGGGGGCAAAGTAACAGAACGCTCCATTTACAGTTAACTAACCGATTAGGCCATCACACTGCCTGCTCTCTGTCTGGAAGGCAGAGGGAGGAAGGGCATTGTGACTGCTTCACTTGAGGGCTCTGCCTCTATCTTCCCCATGTGACCCTTTGTATGTCCCTATACTGTGTGTTGGTTTTCTCCCAAGGGTAACTTCTCTCATGATGGCCAAGCATATCCATAGCATAACCTGATTTCAAGTCTCCTTCTCCAGGTTCAGAGCAGGTTCAAGGTGGCCTGCAGGGGTCTTAGAGCGAGGAAACCTCTTCCTAAGAAACCTCGGGATAACGTTCCCTCATACCTCAGTATTTCTAATGGTCATAGTACATTCCTGAATCATTCCCTAGGTAATGGTTAGCTCAGGTCTAGGCTGCTACATCCATCAGCAAAGTAAATTGGATTAACTTTGGACCAGTCAGACCCATCCTTTCCAAGAGTAGGGTTAGCTTCTCAGAGTCTGGAAAGATGTATAGTTCTGATTGGAAAGATGGCAGATACCAAGTTAGTATTAAAATGATATTAAGAATGAAGGAGAGTGGTGGTCTCTGCCTGTAAAATTAGCGTTTCTGGGAAGCTGAGGTAAGAAGACCTCCATTACTAGACTCCATAGAGTGAGAGCCATCTAAAGAGACACAAGAAGAAGAGAATAAAAATGTGGAAAATAAAAGCTGTACACCCCTGCTCACACTCAGATATAATGATATTTTATGTAGTCAATTTATATTTTTTTGATACAAAGTCTCACTATGTAGCCATGGTTCTTCTAGAATTTGTTATGTAGACCAGGCTGGCCTCAAACTCACAGAGATCTGCCGGTCTCCGCCTCCTGGGTGCTGAGGCTGCCGCTACCACCACCCACGGGACTTCATAATCACCTGGCTTGTGCACCTTCCGTTTTCTGTTTGACAAATTTCTCCCCAGCATGTTAATTCCCACCTGAGCTAGCTGTGTGAGGGCTTTTATTTCCCACATTGCCCTTAGCACTGGCCACTGACAGGCTTGTCCATATTTTACAGAAGTTCTGAGTAGCATGGGCACCTCGTTGTTTTGCCTCCTGTCCCCATAACAGGACAGCAGCTTAACCTCATTTAGTGAGTAGCTGTCTCCTGGCATTGCTGTGCATGGAGATATGGCAGTGATCGTGGCTACATTTCGGAGTGCTGAGAACAGTTCCTCCTCCACACACACCCTCATTACTGTCACTCTGCCTAAACTATCACCATTACAGGATTTTTTGTTTTGTCACTGTTGTCCAATGTAAGATTTAGAGTGCACATCCCCTTGCCAGCGAGGCAGCTGCTTACCTACCCCATCAGATGTTTCCCTTCTGTAAACCAAAATACATTGGCGGGTGGCGAAGGGTTAGAAATAGGGGACACGGCAGCAAATAGTCAGCTAACTGAGGCCAGGGGCCAGGCAGAAGCTGAAGAAGAGCCTGGGGTGTTATGGCCTGTCACCCACTGAACTTTTTGGCTTGGGTCCTCAGACACTTCCTTCATGTACATGATTGCGGGCCTCTGCATGCTGAAGCTCTATCAGGCCCGCCACCCAGACATCAACGCCAGCGCCTACTCTGCCTACGCCTCCTTCGCGGCGGTCATCACACTTACGGTCCTCGGAGTGGTGGGTCCCTCTCTGTCTGCCTCAGTCTGGCTCTGGAGACATGTCCCCTTTAGGGGGGGATTTGCTGTTTGTGTCTCTTTGTGGGGCTTCGGGTGTGTGTATTTGGGTCTCTTCATGGCACTCTGGCTGGGTTACTAGCTGAAGGATTCTAAGCATGTGACAATCGCCTGTAAAAAAAAAAAAGGCTGAGGGTGGTTTTTATATTAAAATGGAGGAATCTGAATCATGTCAAAACTGGAATCAATAATCTAAGCTGATTGAGAAACCAACCCGAGAGACAAACTATTTTTAAATGTCCGTGGACAGCAGTTACTGGCAACCTTCGGTTATTTGAAGAGCATTCTCCCCAGCTCTGGACCAACTGTCCATCCATTGTTGTTCTATTACATTCCATCTCTCCCTCCTCCGTTTTCATTTGGCTAGATAGCCATTGTTCTTTCTGTCCACTGTACAGAAAGATCCCTGTGCGTTTTGAGGTAAGAAAACAAAATGCACGTGGGGCTAGGTGGCTTTTTAAAAATAGTTTTACTTATTCTTTGACAGTTTCATACCTGTATTTCATGCATCAAACACATCCACCCCAATTCCCACCTCCCACCCAAACCTTCACATCTTCTTCGTTTTATATTTTTATAACCTACTGAGTCTAATTGGTGCTGTATGCATGAGAATGGGTATAAGGCCATCTACCCGTGTGTGAACACTACCGATGGCTACACACCACCCCAAAAGGTGACTCTCCCTCCCCCAACAGTTAGCAACTGTCAATAACTCCTCATGTAGGGGTGGGGCCTCTTGAGCGCCTCAGGCTCAGTGGAAGGCTGGTTGGCCTGATCTTGTGCAGGTCTTGAGCAGACAGCCACGGCTTCAGTCAGTTCATGACTACAACGGCCTTGTCATGCCCAGAAGACATTCGTCACCATCCTCCCGCTCTTGTGCTCTTTCCACCCCCCCCCCACACACACACACTCCCACGTTGTTCCCCGAGGCTTACGGCTGGTCTATAGAATGTCCCATTTAGCCAGCATGCCCACAGTTCTCAGTATGGTGACCAGTTATGAGTCTCCGCCTTAGCTGCAATCTACTGCATATAAAGAAGTTTGGTTTGCTACTATAAGCCTCAACAGGAGACAGTGGGTGTACAGAGTTCTCGGAGGAAACCCCAGATCACACTAACCCCTTTCTTTATCCCTAGGTGTTTGGAAAAAACGATGTGTGGTTCTGGATCATCTTCTCTGCAGTCCATATCCTTGCTTCTCTGGCCCTCAGCACCCAGATCTACTACATGGGCCGTTTCAAGATAGGTGAGTAAGCACAGGCACTAACTTCCCCGGGGAAGCCAGCACGGGATCATCACTCGTCCTCCACGACAGTGCTGCTCACCAGCATGAACATGGGCTGTTCGGTTGTCTCTAAGAACGTCTTCCTCCTTATAGATCTACCCTGCCTTAGATAGTGTAGCTCCAAAGAGCATTTGATTGGCGTTCTCATCATTCCAGACCAAAATCTGGGAAGTCATATAAACTGCTAAAAGGAAACTAACTCTGAGTCTTGTTCTCCTTTCTCCCAGATTCATTAGCACAGAGTTAGGTGGTGGTAATGATCCCTGTCACTGTCCTGTAATTCCAATGGCAGTGACGTTCAAACAGTGATATAGCACTGACTCATAAACATCTTAGACACAAGGACTGGTTTATGTGAGGACCATGCAGTGATTTGTGAGGGTCACAGCAGGAAAGAGTTGTTACGTACAAAGATTCATGGAGATTTATTCATGAAATGATGATTCACAAGACATGCATGGTGAGAGGTATGTTAAGGGGTCTCTCCCCAGGCAACCTGGGATTAATAGCAATGCAGCCTTCACTGTCCTTATTTCTAGAAGGACAGGGATGAAGTGGTCCCTAGAATGCGTCACGGAGAGGAAGTCCCTCTGAAAGGAACTTTGATTGATAGACAAGTTCAGTCTGATGCAGCCTCACAGGGAGGTCCTCCACAAAGGGTGCTGGAGAGAGGTGTATGACAGTGGGAAGGGCATCTGGAAGGCAGAGTTTAGTTTTAAGTTTTGTACCCAAAGAACCATCCTGAGGCAGTTTTGGATGTAGCAGAGTTAAAACCTGCTGTTAGAATTAACAGGTGGCAGGTTTGTCTAACGGCCTGAGGGGTTGCTCTTCTGCCAGCTTTGGCAGGCCAGCTACAGGACCATGGCCACAGGCAGCATGATGGGACGTTGAAGAGCGAGAGATTCTTCAGGATGCCAAGAATTTCATTAGGAGAGAGTCTAGGGCAGGGTTCTGAATGGTGGTGGCCTTCAGTTCCAGAGGACAAAGGAAATGCCTTGCTCTTACAGGCTTGAGGGAGAGGGAGTGGGAGATCATGTTATATAACCCAGCCTATGTGTTAGGAGTTACCAGTCAGGAAGGCACCAGATAAAGGTAAAGTTAGAAGTCGGACCTGTCACGGGTGAGGCTGGGCTTGCAACTGCAAGGCGGATGGAGGATGAAGGTCACAGCGTGCTTGCTTATCCACTCTGTCTGTCCCGACAGGCTGTAGGGAGAGGTGACCTGTGCCCTGACCGGAGGATAGTGGGGAAGGACTAGAGGGCTGTGTGACCTAACAGCTGTTTCCTTGTGCCAATGATTTTGTCTCAAGTTGGCCCACAGGCAGGAGGTTGCCTTGATAGACAGTGGTTCAGCCATCTCTAACCTCTCCACGCATTTCCTCGACACCTTTGCTTTCTAATTCCACATTCCTTTCTCCGCAGTTCTCGGGAGAGCTCATAGAGAAGGCAGCTGTGCAGTGCAAGGAGAGCGTGTTATAGGTGGACAGAAGTCCAGACCACTGCTGTGTCCTTTGTCTCATATCCTAGGAGTTAGACCTCGTGGGTTGTTCATAAGAGAAGACGGGTCCCTGAAGTAGGAGGGTAGAGAAAGGTTCCTCTGCCTACTCTTCAGGGAGGGGCTTTCTGAGTGTCTGAGACAGGTAGAGTCCATGTCCTTCATGGGAGAGCAAGCATCACTTTTACAAATACGAAGTAACCCATTGTTTTAAGGAAAACAGACAAAGTGAGAGGTGATTTACCCGTGTGGCTTCCTTCTTACAGAGCATCTCTCTCTCTTCTTTCCTCTCTGCTTCCCACTGATTCAGATGTGTCTGACACAGGTAATGCCCTGCGACCCTTTGTAGGGGTCTGAACTGTTTCTAATCCTGCCTGACTGTCTCTGCCCCCTGGCTTTCCCTTCCAGGTCAAGCAGTGCATGGGAGGGGGATTCAAAGGTGGGGTCAGAAGGCAGTCTGCATCACAAACCATGCTGGGGTCCATCCCTTCTGGGCTAGCACATGGCTAGTCTCCTTTCTCCTGGGTTAATTCACACACAGACTAACCTGGAAGGGGAGGGGAGAGACCCGACAGAGCTGGACGTCCACTCCCAGCAGTGCTGGCTCTGGTACACTCAGTCACGCTTTTGATGTCAAGACATGAATAGCTCGCAGGAAGAGAGCCTTCCTTTGACCTAGAACTCTTACACTGAAGCCATTCCATTCTGACCATGCCTTTTGCAGGACTACATTTGCAAAACCCTTTCTGTGTTTCTCGCCCCCTCTTAACTTACATCCCTTAATAGTTCTGCATCCTGTTTCCGTACTGGTACTCTTTCTGTCCATTCTTCGTGCAGCCCGGGAGCTCTTGGTTCAGAACTTAGCAACTCATGACTGCACCGAGAAGTGAAGGCTGAAACTTTTACAAGTTAAGGCCCCCAATCCCCACTACGGAGAGCGAATGTTTTAAGGTAGACTCGAGGGTTCCACTCCATCTCCACTGACAGACACCTCACCAGAGTGACCTTTAAGCTTAGCCGAAGGAAGCACAAGGGTGGCAGCTGCCTGCCATTCACTTCCCTTGGCAGCCTTTCCGTTATATGATCCACGGGCATGGCACACACCCTCCAAGACAACAGTGTTTTCTAGAGCAGTGGTTCTCAACCTTCCCAATGCTGTGACCTTTAGCACACTTCTCATGTGTGGTCAGCCCCAACCACACAATTATTTTTCGTTGCTACTTTGTAACTGTAATTTTGCTTCTGTTACAAATCTTAATATACATATCTGTGGTTTCAGATGGTTTTAGGCGACCTCTTTGAAAGGGTCGTTTGACCCCCAAAGTGCTCAAGACCTGTGGGTTGAAAGCTGCTGTCCTAATCATGTACTTACTGCTCACCTATCAGGTGCAAAGCAGTCTCATGCCTTTTGATCGAGTGCCGATGGCACCCTTCTTACCCCTAGTCATCTGAGACATGACGGTCACGTCACTTCCCAGTATGTGTATTTTCTCAGTGTGTTTTCATCATGTAATTGTGTCAACACAGATCTGGGGATCTTCCGGAGGGCTGTTATGGTGTTCTACATGGACTGTGTCCAGCAGTGCAGCAGACCTCTGTATATGGTATGTGCATGTTCCTGTGTTCTTTGGCCGGCTCCCAAAGCGGAGGGGCAGGGGAGGGCCAGGCTTGGGGCAGTGACTCAGACCTCCAAAAAGCCAAAGAACCAGATGGCCTGAGGTGGCTGTGGTCCAGTCAGTGGGGAAAGAATCACGTTGCTATTCTTTTAAAAAGGCAAGCTACCATGGTCCTGCTTTGATAGAAAAATATTTGCTAGTCTATAAAGGAAATATATAAAACACACACACATACACGCCAAACTTTTTAAGTGGTATATACAGTTTAGTTTTATTTTCCTTTTTGAGAGCATCACACGTGAGCACTTCATCCACATTACTGCCTCTGTCCCTCCCCTCCCAAATTCATGACCTTTTCAAATATTACTGTTCCATTGATGTGTAGATGTATACAGACACACACATGCATGTGCAGCCTACTCAATCTATTTCGTGCTGCCAATACGTACATGTGTCCAGGGCTGATCACTTGGGATTGGAAACCTGTAAGGGAGCTCCTCCGTGGAGGAAACTGGTTATCTTTCTTCTGGGAGCCACTGGCCACCCATAGCTCTTCATGTAGGGTGAGACCATTTGGAATTTACCCCATCCATATTGGCGTGTCAGCTGGAATATACCAAGCTTTTAAATGGTGATAATGACTGTGGGGAGGATTGAGGTACGATGTCTTTACGGATAATCCAAAGATGTGACCTCATGAAAATGTCACACTATTAATAGCTTTACCAGGACAGCAGGTGTGAACCTGCATGGCTCTAAGAAGTTCCTTCTGGCCGATTCCATTAGTGTGTCAGTTTGCTCACTGTTGCTGTGACGGAACACTTAGACCAAAGCCACGTGTGGAGGAAAGCGTGAATTTGGTTTGTACTCCTCATCAAAGTCAGTTACTGCAGGACCTCAGGGTCGGACCTGAAACAGAGACACTGGGGGAATGCTGCTCGGTGGCTGCTCCGCATGGTTTGCTCAACCTGCCTAGGGATGACACCACCCACAGTGGGCTGGATCCTTCCACCTCAGTTATTAATCAAGAAAATACCTCACCTGCTTGCATTTATGGAGGCATTTTTCTCAGTCGAGGTTCCCTCCTCCCAGATGGCACAAACTTGTAGCAGGTTGACGAAAAACGCCCAGCACAACTGGTAACTTTCCAGCTTTTCACCTCCGTATGTTCTGACAGCAGGAACATTGGTAAACTGTGGTTGTGTTTTGGTGGTTGGAAATATTTCTTTAAATTTTCCCCTATAGCTCTCATACTATCCATGTCTATACTAAACCTGAGAGACTGGGGCCAAAGCCCTGCCTCAGAGTCCAGGCCATTGACCTTGAGAGTAACCAGCATCCTCTGAGCCCTAAGACTTGGTCTCTGTATGGTTCTGTGCTCAGATCTGATGCTGTCTTCTTCCCTGGAACACAAGAATTCAGCAAGAACCCAGTTAATGATCTTATAACCAGAAGGATTTCTACATCAAGAAATACAGAGACCCCTTAGCCTCCAAAACTTGGGCAGGAAAAATTGAGAGACTTGAAGCAGGGGTTTTCTCAATGCTGGAACTATAAAGCCCGTTAGAACAAGTATCTGGGGAGTTATGCATGCTGGGCTAAGGGCCAGGCGGGGCAATTAATGTCTAAAGTGTAGAACAATTTTAGCTTCACAGCAAAAACAGAACAGAAGGCTCAAGATTCCCCACACGCTGAGGGCTCCTACACATGCATAGCTGTCTCTACTACAAGCATTCTCATCAGGCTGTTGCATGGAACAGCATCGGCCTCTTCATCCATCTGTGGGCCACACACTCCTGCCTTGTCCTTTGCTTGGGTTTTGACAAACACTTAATGGCAGCTTCCAAGTGTACACAGCATCATGCAGACCAGTCTGGCATCTGCAGACCAGTCTGGCTTGCCCAACATCCCTTTGCACCCTGCCTGTTTACCTCTCCTTCCTTTGGCAGTGCCGACCTCTGATCTGCTTCTAGAGGGTCGCCTTCTTGTTTTGCCTTTCTCAGTGTGTCATGGGACTGGACTTAAGTCATGTGACGCCTGCTCCCAGACTTACCTCCTTCACTTGGTAACACACATTCACATTTCCTCTCTGTTGCTTCCATGACATGACAGCTCTTTTCTTTATAGTTCTGAGTAGTGCTCCATGGTCTTATAGTGCTACCAAGTATTGATCTGTGCACCCACTGAAGATGGTCTTGTTGCCTCCAGGTTCATGCAATTACAAATAAAGTTGATATGGCAGTCATGGGGGCGGGGGTTCTTGAACCTATGTTTTCAACTCATTGGGACGCATATCCTGGAGAGAAATTGATGGAAGAGGTGGTAAACAGGTATTTAGTCTTGGGGTTAAAAACAGAACAAAACGCCAGCTGTCCCCCAAAGTAGCAGAGCCTGTTTGTATTCCGACACATCAGGGACAAACTATTCTGATGGTCCCACATCCTCACCAGCATTTCCAATCAGGGTTTTAGATTTTCACTATTCCAATAAGTAAGTAACCTTTTGTCTGGTTTTATTTTTTGACAGGGTCTCCCTATGTAGCCCAAGCTGGCCTGGTACTTGCTATGTGAACAAGGTTGGCTCGAACTCAGAATTCTCTTGCCTCTGCCTCATAAGAACTCAGATTAAAGATTTTTTTTTTAAAAAAAAAGACATTTCTTTTATATCGGATGGCTCACTTGGGAAGCTGAGAATTGGTAAAAATGAGAGATAGTGGCTATGCACATGCAAATATAATTAAATATACCTAGAAGCTTTAAGTAGTCGCAAAGGGGCAGAAAAAGATGGAGAATAGGTTTCACTCGGAGGAACCTTAATCATGTGGACAGTTCCCCTGCATCTCCCGAACCCCCATTCTTTAACTTCAGGGTTAAGATTGTGGCTTAGGAGTAAAAATTAGTTCCTACATTTAGTTCTGACTGTGCAGCCCAGGCCACGGGGACGTGACAGCAGAATCCCCACTACTGAGTGATGAGTACATGTCACCAACCTCCTGCCGAGAAGTGGGTCCAGCTGCTCTCTGGGAACAGCCAACCCTGCTTTGCAGGTCACACTTTCTTACACAGAGCTGCTCTACATCCTTTTGTGGTCAGGTCTTGGTGTTCAGCCTGACTCAGTATTAGTGTGAACCCCAGAAGGTGTCCTTCCCACAAAGTCACAGTTTTCCCATGGGGGACGCTTTCACCGCAGTGAGTAGTGAGTAGATAGCAAAGCGGCCTCTATTCTAACACTCTGCTTTCTCTTTTCCAGGACAGGATGGTGCTGCTCATTGTAGGGAATCTGGTTAACTGGTCCTTGTAAGTAGAATTACGAGAAGTGACGTTCTTATCATTGTTAATATCTGCAACGCTCAGTTTAGGGCTCTTGGACTGTCATTTTTACAAGAAAATCTGAAATTAAGGAGACTGTAGACCTGTTTGTCCCAGAGGCTTGATTTAAAAAAAAAAGTATTAGGTAGTCCTTCCATTTGTTAAATAAATAAATAAATAAACAAACAAATGGAAAATCAAAACAACAACAAAAAACCCACTAGGAGCCTGGAGAGATGGATCAGTTGGTAAAGGCACCTGCTGTCAAGTCTGGCAACATGAGTTCAATCCTCAGAACCCACACGGTGGAAGTCAAGAACCAACTCCATTAGCTGTCCTCTGACCTACACACACACACACATACACACACCATAATATGCTCATAGATACAAATAAGTAAATAAGTAAAATATTTTAATTAAATAAATGCACTAGGAAGCTCTTGTGTACTGGTGAGGGCTTTTTCAAAAACATTGATGTATTGATAGAATTTGCCCAACCAGACAAATATCTATGTGGACAAATTGATTGGATGGATGGGTGAATGGATGGATGGATGGATAAATGACTGAGAGAAAGAAAGGAAGGAAAGAAAGAAAAGGGGGAGGGGAAAAAAGGCACTTTGCCCATAAGTCCAAAAAACATAATTTAAAATTATCTTGTAGAATTTTGCATAATAACTATTGAGGAGACATTAGTTTTTATAAGAATACTTTTTCCTTCATTTGTGGTGTGTGTGTGTGTGTGTGTGTGCGTGTGTGATGTCATTCTCCTGCAGTTTGTCCCTTTTCATCCTCCTGTCCTGTTTCCCAGGTGAACAGATGCAACAGAGGTGCAACAGATGCGCATTCTCTGCTAGCTGAGATTGTCTTATGTAGTCTCCTCACTTCCAACACATGAAATGCTTCGTTGGTATCGCAAAAATAAGTAACTTCGGCTGTTTTTACTCACGACTCTCAGCTAATATGTTTCTCTAGCTCTGTGACTTTTGATTTCCCCCCTCGTTCCTGATATACATAAGGACACAATTCACTCACAAGACAAGATCAGTGGCCTCGTCTTCCTCACACAGCTCTGTAGGATGTCAGGTCCAATAAGGTATAAGGTTTGATGTCCCATAATATAATTCCATGTTTCCCTGGAAGAGGGGCTATCTCTTTCTCTACTGTTCCGTATGTATATAGAGTGACTGAATATGAATGTTATTTGAAAAGAATAGCTCTCGGACAGGAGCCCAGGCTGCCTCTTGTTCCCGCCTTACTGCTGGAATCATAGACATGTGCTACAGTGTCTGGCTCACCTTTATCCTTCTGTTTGTTTGGTGATGTGGATAAAACTTAGGGTCTCTTGCATGCTAAACAAGTGCTTTTCCATAGAGCTGCATGCCAGTCCAAGACCATGCTTACCTTCTTATTAGAATGCTACTTCCCTTAATAAGACCATACATGTGAACATGTGTTCAAGTGGAAGCAATCTATGGACAATCTTCAGTATTTACAGATCCCATATTTATGAATGTGAGCATCTATTTACAGATCATTATTTATTTATGTCTTTTCCCTAAAGGAATAATTCCCACATGGCCCTGAAGAAGAAAACCTTTGGGGTCTGTAAGTGTGTGTGTGTGTGTGTGTGTGTGTGTGTGTGTGAGAGAGAGAGAGAGAGAGAGAGAGAGAGAGAGAGAGAGAGAGAGCGCACAGACAGCACAGAGAGAAAGAGCCAAACAGCACACATATCAAATTGCTAATTGATGAATCTGAGGAAAGGCCACCCAAGAGTTTTAAGTGAACCGAGGATTTCAGAATCTGGAAGGATGGCACTGCATGAATAATCTTGAGCACAGTCAGCTGGACTCTAAAATTCACGGCCATTAATAACAGCTTTGCACTTGAAATACTTAGGAATACAATTTGAGAGACGGGCAGAGTCTTTCTTCTGAAAATGCAATTGCCTTATTAGGACACACAAAAGAAAATTTAACCAACTGGAGAGAGATGTCAGGGCCTGGCGTGGAAGAAAGACAGCTGTTCTCCAGTTAATGTGTGAATTTCAAATTAGAGCTTTTTTTTTTATCACAAAATGGGTGAACAGTCCCTGAAAAGCAAGGTTAACACAAGGAGGGGCTGAGAAAATAGTAACTATTCCAACATAGCCCAATAGAGCCTTCTGGAGTTACACAAATGCTCAGTACCGCACAGTCCTAAGGGGAACTACTAACATGTGGGCATTGCGATGCTGAAATGCGGTCCCTGTGTTTGAGGAATGGACTTTTCAATTTTTATTTAGTTTTAACTGATTTAAATTTAGATAGCCATGTGTGAGGGCCACAGGGGTTGACAAAGGCTAGCCTAATAAGGCAATCTAATATTAAAATATAAATAAAACCGAGCGAGGCAAGCACTGATCCCAAATTAGAACTGTAAACCGGTGAGTCAGATGAGGAGGATGGAAACAGATTGGTGCACGCTGTAACTCGGCTATGGGGATGGAAGGCAGGAGGAGCCTAAGTTCAAGGCCAGCCTGGACATCTAATAAAATACAAATGGTTCAATCCTCCAGCACAGTGAAAGCAGACAGAACAGAGACAAGAAAAATCCTGATGAAGCACTATGTCAATATAGATTTCACTACACTTAAAATTAACACGTGATGATTATATATATGCACAAATGTAGTTTAGTGTGATATCTCAAAACATGTGTTCCATCTTCGGTTTATCTGTCCCTCCACTTCCCAACTTCCAGTCTTCACTAGTCTTCCTTCATTTGGGTTTGATTTCCGTTTCCCTTGTAGCCAATGACCTCAATGTCTGTGTGTGTGTGCGCATGCAGGTGCATACACTAGGGAGCTCCCTGCAGAAGTCAGAGGCATTGGCTGTCTTTCTGTATTGTACCCCTCATATTTCTCAGTATTTCAACTGGACAGCCTGGCCAATGAGGTTCCAGGGTCCACCTGTCTCTTCTAGGGTTACTGGAGTGTTCTGTCGTGCTGGGGACTAGAACTCAGGTCTTCCTGTTTGGGCAGCAAGCACTTTACCCTCTGAGCCATATCCCCTTCCCACATCTGCCCATTTTTAAATTGTATTCCTTGTTTTTTTAATTTTTTTCTATTTTGGATGTTGTTTGGTTTGCTTTTCCATTGGTGTGCTAAACAACATAACAAAAAGCAGGGGAGGGTTGATATCAGTTCACTGCTGTGGTCCATCGTGAAGGGAAGCAGGGGAGGGTTGATGTCAGCTCACTGCTGTGGTCCATCGTGAAGGGAAGTCCTAGAAGGAGCTGGTGGCAGGAACCCAGGCAGGAACCCAGAGGCAGAAACATAGCAGCTCTGGAGAGGAGCAATGCTCACTGGCTTACCCAGTCTGCTTTCTTGCACACCTTGGACCCTGTCCCCGGGGGTGACACCACCCACAGTGGACTGGGCCCTCCCACATCAATGACTGATCAAGAAGGTACCCTACAGACTTGCCCACACCACAGCCCAACCTGATGAGGACATTTTCTCAATTGAGGTTCCTCTTCCTAGATGACCCTAGAATGACAAAAACCTAACGAGGACAAATATTAGCCCAAGATTAACTAATCCAGGATTGTTAATAGCTATTTTCCTGTTTTCTGATGCTTGTCTCTTTCCTCTGTGAACTCTTTGCTATGTAGAAGCTTTCTAATTTTGTAAAATCCCACTTGTCAATTTTTGCTTTTTGTTTCCTGGAGCCATGATATAGTTGTTTCCTTTTGTGTTACACTGTTTGTTTGTTTTTATTTGTCTGTTTGTGACAGGGTTTTTCTATCTAGACCTGGCTTGTTTGGTCCTCACTTTGTAGCCCAGGTTAGCCTCAGGCTCCTGGCAATCTTCCTGGCTCAGCTTCTGGAGTGCTGAGATTACAGGTGTGTACCACCCACCCTCCACACTGTAGGTCTTAAACGTATATTTATTTAAAGAAAAAACTTCAAATAAGGAGATGAAGAAAGCTACAGCTGGGTGTTGATGCACCTTTAATCCCAGCACTCGGGAGGCAGAGGCCAGCGTGGTCTACAGAGCGAGTTCCAGGACAGCCAGGGATACGCAGAGAAACCCTGACTCAGGAAGGAAAAGTTATCAATATTTTGTTATACTGAGTAGAAATTTTAAACAGACTTAAGGTTCACCCTCGGTCAAAGTAAATTTCAGTGCTAAATTAAATACGGACAGCTGGCATTAACTTGGTAATGTTGTCAAGCCGGTTACTGAGGTAATCCTACTGGCAGCCACCTGTTCTGAGGAACCAGTGGACTTAAATGAAAACAAAGGCAGCATTCTGGAACATTCCCTTATTCCTGACAGTGCTGTTTGTAATCATGAAACGCTGAAGGATTCTGGGAAAACCATTGCACCCCGAGAGGAACGATAACTGTGTTTACTCACAAGACCACTGTGAAGGCACTGCAGAGGAATGTTCTGGCAAAGAGTGATCAATTGAAAGTTATTCATATCACTCATTAAGTTGTGTAATTATTACTCACCACCCAAAGACATCTCAGTTACCAGAGGACCACACGTACACAAAAGATGGTATGGCCTGGTGACATGGCCATCTTGGCTTTTCTATGACGTTCACACAATGCCAAGCTCACCTCCCGTGCATGTCTCGGACTGTATCCCCGTCATCCCAAAACGTACGATTGTATTTTAAAGTGCAGTTTTAACTAGTAAACTCCCACAGTGGTTAACAATCCGCTCACGCACCGCCAACACCCTATACCACACCTACAGTGCCTTCTTTGGACTGTTCTGCCGGCCCAGGGACTTTGCATCCTACATGCTGGGCATCTTCATCTTCAACCTGCTGCTGTACCTGGCTTTTTACATCATCATGAAGGTGAGCACAAGGGAGGAGCTGGCAGTGCGGGGAGCCTGCCCACAGTTGGGGCTGCAGCCTCAGTGGTTTGCATCTTTCCGCAGCTCCGCAGCTCCGAAAAGATCCTCCCGTTACCACTCTTCTGCATCGTGGCCACCGCGGTGGTGTGGGCTGCGGCCCTGTACTTTTTCTTTCAGAACCTCAGCAGCTGGGAGGTAAGAGGCCCCTTCTTTGATCTGAGCAGTTCTCACTCCCTCCTGCCTTTTGGACCTTTTGGACCTTCTCCCTCCCCTGCATTCATTGCTTCTCATCTTTCCCCCATCGTTTAAGTTCACAGCTTTCTTTGGGAGAGAAAAGGCAAGCGACGTGTAGTCAGCATGACCAGGGTAATGCTACATGAACTTGCAAGCCCTGGAGATGCCACACATGTGATCTTCACCAGGTCTCTGGTGGCCTGTTCTCAATTAGCATATTGTCACCATCTTTCCCAGCACAGTCACCGTTCATCCATAAATACAGGGGTAGGACAGGAAAGCTAGCCCTCAGAAACCAGTGCTGTGTCTGAAGCACAAACAGGATGTCTCCACTCTCTACCACAGCCGTATCAGCACATCTGAATTTAGAGCATCTATCTCCGTGACCACAGAAAGAAAACTCACGAGCAGCCATTCTGTCTCGCAAAGACGCGACAATACTTAGCAGCCTTAACTTACCTTCCGTGGCTGTGCAGTCCCCAGTCTGAGCACTTCCTAGAGCAGTGGTTCTCAACCGTCCTAATTCCGTGGCCCTTTAATACAGTTCCTCGTGTCGTGGTGGCCCCACCCATAAAATTATTTCATTTCAACTTTGTAGCTGTCATTTTGCTACTGGTATGCATCATAATGTAAACATCTGATATGCAGGATATTTGACATGTGTCCCCTGTGGGGGTCTCGGCCCACAGGTTGAGAACTGCTTTCCTAGAGATAGAGCCACACGTCGTGTGGCCCCCGAGTCTGGCTTCATTCATGCAGAGTGCAGTGTAATGACTCCTAGGTCATCCGTGCTATGGTCCTGCACCAGCGTGTCTTCTAATTACTGAGCGGTTTTTTCCATTGTGGGGCACGGCACATATGATCTTCACTAATTCTTTTATGGTCTGTTCCCAGGGATGTTTAATGCTTGATTAGTATATTGTCACCTCCTTTCCATCGTGGTCGTCATCCGCCAATAAATGCAGGGGTAGGACAGGAAAGCTGAGCCCTCAGAAACCGTCATCCTCCAATAAATGCAGGGGTAGGACAGGAAAACTGAGCCCTCAGAAACCGTATCAGTGCACTCCGGACAGTTGGGCTGTCTCCATTCTGGGATAAGTAGCGCTGCTGAGAGCGACTGGACACGACCCTCAGCAGCTGACGTTCCGGGTGCTTCCTCAAAATCAAACCCTGAAAGGATTGAACCGTGGGACCTTGCCCACATCTGCATCCCCTTCCTGCAGGGAACCCCAGCAGAATCCCGGGAGAAGAACCAAGAGTGTGTGCTGCTGGACTTCTTTGATGACCACGACATCTGGCACTTCCTCTCTGCCACGGCCCTGTTCTTCTCCTTCCTAGTGAGTCACTCGGGGCTTCTTGCTGCTCTCCCGCCTTCTGCAGTCCTGCACGTTCCCTGCTGTCCATCCTCAGCCTCTACCATTCCCTCCAGTTACGCTCTGCATTTGTTCATTGCAATTCAGTGCGCTGACCACCACCCTGCGCAGTTCAATGCACTGACCATCTCCCTGCGCTGACCACTTCCCTGCTCTGACCATCTCCCTGTATCTTTTTTCTCTTACTGTAACTTCTGTGAGGCCACAACTTTCATTTTCCTCTACTTTTTCTGCACACACAGGAGAGTGACAAAATTATTTTCCCTGAGTTGCACAGTGCCCGGGACAGAATTGGTTATTGGAATCAAATGCTCAGAATTCCCTCAGGAACCATTTAAGGCATTCACTAAAATTTGTGGGGTTGCTGCTTCTCATGATAGACTCTCTTCCTTCCCTTCCTCCAGACTCACTGTGTATCTTATAAAGATTGAGTTCCTAGAGAAGCTCAGGAAGCCACCCAGCCAGCATGTTCCTAATCTAGGGTTCCTGGGATTTGCTTGTGCCCTTCCCAGAATCCATTAGTAGTTATGCTAATTTAAGATGACCATCCTCGGCATCCTTTAGTCCTTTTTAAAAATTTCTTAATTTAAAATAATTAGGTGCCTATCATCCCCAGAGGCCAGCCATGCAATCACAAGAGTGGAGCAGGGCTTCCCTCTAGTGACCAGAGTGGGAAGTACACCCAATCTCCGTGACTTGGACTTTTCTGATAGGACGACAATGGGATAACAGAGTGGGGCTAGTGATTTCATGTGGGGAGGGACTAGGGCGAAGTAGGAATGGTCCATTTCTTGTACAGAAACCCTCAATACTTCATTTCCGATGAATTTTATATGTCACCTTCTAGTAATGACTACCCAGGCCACCTTACTCAAATACTCTACCATCCTCCACCTCAAGCTCCGATACTTACTCCCTGGTTTAGTTGTAACCCTCACACATAGTCTGTGAAATACACTGCATCCTGCCTCATGTGCTTCCTTCCTGTTTAAGGACCTTTCCTGAATGGGAGCTCTAGGGCAGGGGATGGATGCCGTTTTCATCCTCGACTGTGTCTCTAGTATCAAGCATAGCACATGAGAACCCTCTTCACGGGTATTTCAAGAAATTTACACATGAGCTGCAATTTAGTCATACTAAACCCCAGATAAAAGCAAGACCTTGTGGATCACTGCCAAAAATATGCGAACAAGTGAGGGGCCATGCCATTTCCAGTCTGTGGACGGCAGGAAGCGGGAACTTGGTGTGGCCAGGACTTGTTCCCTTCCCATCTCCAACCCTCTCACTTCAGGTGTTGCTGACCCTGGATGATGACCTGGATGTGGTTCGCCGAGACCAGATCCCTGTCTTCTGAGCCTCCAGCATCACAGGGCGAGAAGGCCCAGTTCACTTTGGTGCTGTTTCGTGGGAAATATGACCACAGCAGCATGTCCACTGCCAGACACTCCACTGGTCTCTGGGGAGTCAACCGTGTCTGCATTCACACAGGAAGGCTCAAACTTGGGGTGAGCTGCACCCCGAGAAGAATGGGAGAATGGAAGGCCTGCTGTGCGCAGAGGCAAAGCCAGGAGGCTCAGGAATCTCTGTCTGCAATTTAGAGTTCAGTCTGGACACAAGCTGCATCAGGCCCGCTTGCTGCCTCGGCCGCTTCCATCCTCACTGATTGGCTGGAAAACTAGCTACTTGTACCTCCCACCTAGAATCTCTGGTGTGGCCACTGCCACCCCTGTAAAGCCTAAAGCACCGTCTCACTTCCCCCGGAACCTCTGAGGGTGTGATCCTCAGATAAGGTGCAGAAATGGGACCAAGTCCCCACCCAACTGAGACAGACCTTCTGGTAACTCAAGTATTCAGAAGGAATGCTGAACAACCCACCCAGGTTCCTGGCACTACTGGAAATGCTCAGGATGGGACTTTGCCACCAGCACTTCTGAGCGAATGGACAATGCTGGCCCCAAGGTCTGGGGATCACCGATTTCCAAGTGTCTTCATCTTACCACTGGAGGGTGACCCAGCACACTGGTGCGGCCTTCTCAGAAGGGCCCCCTTTCTCCGTAGACTTCTACCAGTTCCAAGATGGATAAGGAAGGGAGGGAACTACAGCAGAAGCGAGATCAGTGACAGACTGTGCTAGGTGCCTGAGCATTGGGCAGGCAGCTCTCCTCAGCTTAAGGAGTCTGGATCCTGGAGCAAATTCAACAAAGCAACAGGGCCTGGTGTCCTCTCATGCACAGCTCAACCTGTGTCTGTGTGCCCTTTGCAGGGAAATGACTTGTTCCCAGCAATGTTACCCTGGAGTCCTCCACCCCTGAGCCTCCTGCCTGTCACTTATGTAGATGTCACTCAGGATGGACACATGTTCCTCCCCCGCTTGGGTTGCAGCGATCAGAGCTGATCCGGTCACCTAACACTGCATCTCTCTAAGATGTAGAAGGCTCAGCGTTCTAGTTCCCTTCTCTCACATCGTCTGGCAAACCCCGTGAGAAGCCCCATTTAACCGGGCTTCCTGGTTGTCTGGAGTATGGTGTTATCAGAAAATAGGCACACCTGCCTATTTGCTTGTGAAACTGAAGTCTCTCCTCATCCGTGCGTTCTTGATCACTTATTAAGGAAGCGAATCGGGCATTCCTCTTTTTAAAGGTTGTTATTCTTTATCTCAACTATCTGCATACTGTTCAAACATGTGCTTTGAAAGTTCAAATGGCAAGGTTCTCTTGATTTTAAAAAGGAAAGATAATTTCCATGAATAATTTCGTGTGTTTTGTCTTTCTTTCCCAAACGATCTCATGTTTGCAATTGATTTTCTGTTATTCTTCATTACTTCAGAACTTGCTGGTGTCTGTGGGTCCTATGAACACTGTCAGTTAGATGGCCATCCTACTCAAACATCTTTTCGGAAGCAAGAAAGTTGCAAACAAGTGAGATGTTGTGCCTAAAGCCCTTAATCCCAGCCCAGGCAGAGGCAGGTGGCCACATGACCCAAGGCCGACCTGGTCTACAAAGTTGAGTTCCAGGCCAGCTAGTGCTACAGTGAGACCAGGTCTCAAAACAAACAAACAAACAAAAGGAAGCAAGTTCAAATCTGATTGCTTATGGCAGACTGTGGATTCTTTCAAAGCAGTCCTCTCGGTGTTGCATCCTAAATAAACCAGTAATGAAAGCCCATCCAAACAGCCCTGTGGCATGAGTGAATAAACACAAAGCTACACTACCTGTTTTGGAAGCTTGTTTCGGGGGCAGAGAGTCAATGAAAACAGGGCAGTAGATAGGGCCCTATGGAAGGGGAAGAGGAAGGACGACTGTGCCACCGTGTTCTTGTGTTCTGTTGTGTCTTGTTGTACTATAATGTCGTATGTCCCGGCCATTTCTGTTCTTTGCAGCAGGACCAAAAAGCCCCAGACCAAGCCTGCTTTTAAAAATAGAATTTCCACCGGGCGGTGGTGGTGCACACCTTTAACCCCAGCACTTGGGAGGCAGAGGCAGGCGGAGTTCTGTGAGTCTGAGGCCAGCCTGGTCTTGGACGTTAGTTGTGCTTCATCTGGGATGCCACTGTGAGCGCTGGGGTAGAGGAGGGCCAATGGGGATGTCAGGAGCCTCCAAACATCACTGGGATCTAAAACAACACTTATGCTAACCCTCTGCCACGTGTGCTTTGCTCCTTAAAAACAAAGGCCAGGCTAACTCTGAGGGCCGAGTGAAGCTGGCAGGTAACAGAGTGGAGGGTGGAGGCTCTTGACTGAGAACACTCACAAGTAAAGAGAGCTTCTCAGTTGGAAGGAAACCGAGATTCAACAGCCAGGGGAGCAAGACTATGTCTGTAAAATACGAGCTCTTTGCGCCTCTGACAAACACAGAGGAGGCAGCTGCACCTGTTCACGCAGCATGCCTGGGAGATTCGCCTGGTTTTATTTTAGCAGCAAGAGAAGCCAATGGAAAACTGGAGTCTATGTGGGGAAGGGACTTTCCATGACTCAAGGCAATCCCTGAGCCAGCAACCGGTGCCGAAAGCTATTGCAGCTGCTTCCCCGGTATCTCCGGTCGCCCTGCAGAATGTTCTGTGGGGTTGCAAAATGCGTGCGTCAGCGAAACAAATAATGCCCAGAAGCTTCTCATTCTGAGTGGCAGGCACTCTGTGGGAGACTGCGGGGAAAGGCAGGAATGGTCTTGCGAGGGACACCTTCATGAAAGCAGCGGTCAAGTGTGAGGGAGATCACAGAGGCAGACCGTTAGTCCTGTGTCTGCCTGCTGGCTGGGTGACCGAGGTTAAGCGGCTGAAACTGTGACTGTCTTTGTAGCAGCTCCAGGTGTTACCCAAAGCTCACAAAGCGGTAAGGGCTCGGGAATGCTGTCAGCATGAGGCTGGCCCTCAGGGCCTACCTCCTACCACCCACAGGGCTATGGGACAACGGCATACCCTTCAGCTGTCCTGCTTCTCTCCTTTCAGATCCTTCCTGGCAGCGGCCAGTCCAGTTTCCTGCCCTCATCTGCAGGTGACGCTAGGGTTGGGAAGCCTTTTGACCTTCAGAGGCAAAGCACAGATTATCACCCTCCAATCCTAGGCCCCTTGACATCTCCTGCTGCATTTTGCCTCTTAATTCCAATGAAAAATTTTTAATGCTTCCAAAGTTGGGACCTAGTGGAGAGTCTGGCTATAAAGAGTAGCGGCTTTTATTACTGCCATCTGGGCCCCGGGCCTCAGAGGAACGAAAGCTCCCATTTTTGTCCTTTGGAGTGGCTGCTACCACTGGAGTCTAGTGAATGTCAGGTGTGGTGTCCCCCACACTCCTTACCCATCAGCCAGGGCTCCCACTAGCAAGCAAACTGCCTGTGGGGAGGGAGCCTCAGCCTCTCAGGTACCCAAACAGGTCCTAGAAGGAAGGACAAGGGTCAAGTGGCCCACCATGACTCAGCTTCTGAAAGGGAGAAAGAGCATGGCGTGAAGACGGTTTTCTCAGCCTGCAGTTGGCCCAGCCTGGTCATGACGACTCCCTCAGTGACTTCTGCGATGACTCCACCCGGCAGGGAGAACAGACATTTTCACTTCTATTGTTTAGAGGAAGCAAGACATCCACCAGGGCTAAGCTTTAATGTCCCCTTGCTGTGAAGTCACCGTTGTCAACAAGGCTCAGTGCTTATTTGGATCTTGGTCACTAACACATGAGAATCTGGGCAAACTTAACAAGCATCCCAGAGAAGCTGGTTTGGCTGGGATTCTCCTATCAAAAGAGTCCTCCTTGTTAGAATTCTCAGGACACATTCACATACCTGTGTAGTCTTCTTGACATGAAGGATTCATTTTCTGACTGAAGACAAAGAGGACGAGGTGATAGTTAATGTCCTCACCTTGACAGGCTCTGGAATAACTGGGGAGGCAGGCCTCTGGCCACACCTGCACGGGATTATCTACATTAGGTTAGACTCTGGGCATGCCTGTAAGGGGTTGTCTTGGTTGGATTAATGAGCTAGGAAAGCCTACCTTAATAGTGGACAGCGCTAGTCCCTGAGCTGGATACCAGGCTGAGTTGCATAAAACAGGGAAGTGATCTGAGCGCACAGTATTGACAGCATTCTTCCTGGCTGCAGATGCAGGGTGACCAGCTGCCTCAAGCTCCTGAGGCCATGGCCTCCCATTAAGATTGACTGCCCTCAAACTGCGAGCTAAAACACATCCCTCAGGCTTTAAACTGCGTTTCTCAGATGTTTTGATACAAAGACAAGAAAAATAATTAAGATACCTGTTCGTGCTGAGCGGTGGTGGTGCACAGTTTTAATCCCAGAACTCGGAAAGGCAGAGGCAGGCGGATCTCTGCGAGTTCGAGGCCAGCCTGGTATATAGAGTGAGTTCCAGGACAGCAGGATTGTTGCACAGAGAAAACAAAACAAAAAAAAATCTCAGTGGCTGCTCTTCCAGAGGACCTGAATTCAATTTCTAATATCCACATGGCAGCTCACCCCAGTTCTTTAACCCTAGTTCCAAGGGATCTGACACCCTCACACAGACAAAAGTGTAGATGAAATATTTTGAAAAGAAGCATTTCCCTTTGATGGAATTTAACTAAAAGTAGGACCCGTATTTGAGTTCTCGGTTATTCCGCGTCTCCCTGTTGTATGTGTGAGTCTGAATCTGTGCCTCCCTGAAGGCCGTCTTGTGAATTTGTCCCTGTGACTGTGTGTGTCCTTACCAAAGGGCTTTTGTACTCTATTTACTGCAGCACAGAAAGCATCAAATAGGGAAGAAATGGGGGGGGGTATCTTACAGAAATCTTTAACAGGGTTTTTAAAGGGATTAAGTTAATCATCCTCAATGGACCCAGACTAACAAACAAAGGCTCTCAATCAATGCCTGAATATTGTCTTTAACATTTATAGTGGATATTCATTTCATAAGATTGCCTTCAATCTATTTGCTGTTTTCAACATTTATTACTCTAACACACACATACACATGTGGTACTCTGGATCAGGGACATGGAGTAGAGCATCATTTAAGGTTTGCAACACTGTTCTCATAAAGGCAGGCTGAGTACACTGTAGGATTAAGTTTAAGTTTGAAGTGACCCACAAGGTGTACTAGTGACTCTGAGGTCTGGAAAAAGTTTCAGTCTCTTAGAACCTAAGTGATGTTTTAATAATAACATTATTGCCACATCCAACATACATTTGGGCATCTTATATCCATTTGTAATCCCAGATCCAGGGAGATCTGATACCCTCTTCACGCCTGCTTCTGAGGGTGGTTGCCTCCAGCACCATGTGGCCTGCTCCCACCCACTCCTGCACCTACACATTCAACCCAGAAATTCCTCAGGTCTCCTAGATCCTTTGGCTTCTGCAGAGTCCCTGTGACCCAAGGCTCATTCTCTTCCCTGGCTACAAACAATGGTAACCACAATGACCTTGAAGCAACACTACGTTGTCAGAGCTAAAGGAAATGTCCACCACCCATTTCTTAGTATATCACACAAAGGGGAAGAGAAATCTGGTGGTCAGTTCCACATATCCTGCTCTGGGTCGCTTTAAGCTAAATCTTGACATCCCTTGTGGATAAATTCTCTGTCCTTTAAAAAAAAGATTATCTGAAGTGATTCAAAGTATCTTATTTTCAGATAATGAAATGCTGCCACCAAACAAAGATTCTGATTTGCATTTTGTGGTTTTTATTATACTGCTTGTACAAACTTCCACAGGACACCTGGTGGCCAGGCAGGCTTCTTCCATGGAGAGCTTCAAGCCTATGTTTGCTCTGCCTCTAAAACATGGGACAATTGTGAGGGGATTTACTTTTTAGGGCATGCATTACCCTTTATCTTCTTCCTACCACTCCTCTATTCCCTTCACTCAATAGTTGGAAAATATTTGGACTGGGCAGTGGGAGGAGTCAGGGCATAGCAATGGGTAAAAAAATACAGACTTTTTAACCCTGTGTTCTACAATCCAAAAGAGAAGATGGATTAGAGACAAAGTGTTACAATGTGTTCATTACAAACAAGCGACAGTGAAAGAACAGAGTGGCCTAGCATGTCTTGGTCACTGCTCTATAGCTGTGAAGAGACACCATGACCAAAGCAATTTTTATAAGAGAAAGTATGTAACTGGGGGCTCATTTACAATTTCAGAGGTTTAGTCCACTACATCATAGCAAGGAGTGTAACATGAGGGCCTGGCTTGTTGGGGTATCTGTCCTGCCCGGTACCCCACAACCGGCAATTCCCAAAGAAAATCACACACAAGACTCCATAAGATTATA